ACAGTGTGGTGATTTTTGACATATCTCGTAAATTTTGGTAGCTCTTTTGTATTGCACTCGGTCATATTTGGATTTTAGGGAAAAGAGGCTAATCAGGTTTGAACTAGGCTAAAGTAAGTGGCTGAGGTACAGTTTGGAGGCCAAAAGGGACCAAGTAGCTAAAAAGACTACCCTATTATACTGTTAAGGGTTCTTGGGAGGTTTTAGTCCCAATGTTGGAATTATCATAAAGTTGTCATACCTCTTAAGTTACCACCTATTCTGAATACTGGAAAAGACCTTGGATGGGTTTATGATGAAAATTACTGCAGTCTTGGTGTGAAATATTCTACCCCACCTTCCATCTCTGTTCCCCCAAATGAATCTGTTCTTACATGATTTGGTACCTGTTGAACCTGTGGTCTCTGGGATGAGATAGTTGGACATTCCATTTTTAACTAAAATTGGCATTTTCATGTGCTTCTCGTTCTGAGATATATGTCAACAATGAGGTAGGTAGTGGATATTCACAGTTCAGGCTGAAGGTATTGTCCTCTGACTAGAAATGATTAAAGCAGATGACTATCAAGAAATAGTTACCTAAAACTAGATGGAATTTAGAGCTGACGTATTGGTGTGGGTCATCTGACAGTTATTACTATGTTTATAGAAGCCAAAACCAGTTGCTTCAGAATGATGGAAATTATCTTCTAGAGAATAACCCTGGAGAAACATGACATTTCTTCTGAATTTCCTCACGTAAATAATTGCCTAATAGCACATGCCTTCATAGAAAATATTTTTTCCAACTTTAAGTGAAATTCCTCATTTTCTACTGAACATTTGAATTTAATTTTGTTTGCTGTGTTTCTGTCTCTGTGGTTATGTGCTTCTAACTGATCTTGTTAAGCATTTTGAAGTTGCAGTTCTGTAAGCTGGAAATATGCTTCTGAGAGAGTAGGAGCTGTTGTTCAGGGTTTTTTTTTCTTTTAAAGAAACAATTTTATATATATATGCATATATATATATATAAAATAAAGTATCAAGGGATAAGTAGCCAGTCTCATACTTTGATTTAGCCTTTCAGTGTAGCTCTGCTTGGTTGAAAATGTACATAATGATTACTTAGGAAAATAAACAACTTTTTTGCATAACACACTTAATGTTACACTCTAGAACAGTAACTGTAGGAGAATTATAAAGTTACCATGTTGTGCTCATCTTAACACATGTGAGAACCTAAATCTGAGGTTAGTATAGAATATGAATTTTAACTAATAATTAAAAACTAGAGGAAATAATAGTGTGAGGCCTTTTAGCATCTTTAGCATTGGTTTTGGTAATAAAGGAACCAAACTTTCTCAGTTCAATATTTTTAAGGAAAATACCTTTGGGAATGAAGGTGAAACAGGAATACACCTGTACAGAAGAACAGTACTCTTGACTCTCAGTTCAGAAATGCCCTTATCTCTGCAGGCTGCACTCAGATAGACTGAACATCTGTTCCTCTTAGGGCTGTTCTAATCACGTTTATAATAAAGAATACTGCTGGAGGGAGGATTCCTGCCAGGTGCATTAAGCTTCATCATGTGCATCCAGAGACGCAGGCAGAAGACACTGGCCTATTGAGACTGTGTTTAAAAGAAATCCCATGAGTATTATGCTTGGAATGAATCAGCTTAACAGTTTCATGTCAGCAGACATCAGCATGATGACACAGCTAAGGCAGAGTGTGCTATAGCCCATTTGTTTCTGCTCTGGATGTTAGTTCAGAAGGGAAAATGTCTGAGATAGTTGGAAATTAAATGATGGAAGATGGAGCAGAGAGGTAAGTCATATCAGGCCCCACAGGTGAGCACGTAGGTCGAGGGCAAGTGGGGAGAACAAGTGGCACAGCCGTTGCCCGAGATTTGTTGCAAAGAACAACCCAGTCAAGAAAGAGTGAAGGCTGAAAATACCCCAGCAAGGTAAGTGGTAGGTGTTACAGAGATTTTACTTGCTACTGTAAGCCAGAAGCCAAAATCATAATGCAACATATTTCCATAGTTTGTTTCCTACAGAGATCAGGTGGAACTTTAAGAAGCATCTTGGTCCATTTTCAAAAGACGCACAGTTATGCATGCCGTATTTGAGATGAATTTGGGTTTATGAATCACATAATTAAAGTAGTATGTTTGATTGTTCTCGATATATTTTTATAGGAAATAGAGGAAACGTGCATTATTTTTATAATAACTTTTTAAATTATTATTTAATTAGTTAAAACTTACCTTGGTAGGGGAAAAATTTTGTAAGGAGAGACTTTCCACCCAAAAATACAGTTTTGTAATACCAAAGCATTTTGTAGCAACCTCTCATTTCTGGAGAGGTAGAGGGAATTGCCAAGAAGTGTAACACAAATAGATTCCTTTCGCTGCTGAATGTCAAGAAGACTGACAAAATATTCTTTCCAGGTGTTTTTCTTCCTGTAGTGTGAACATTTCAAGAACATTTGCCATGCCCTGCTGAGTTAGACCAATGGTCCATGTAGCACAACGTTCTGTCTCCTGTGGTAGCACTAAAAGATGTTTAGGAAGGGTCTGTTGTCCGATTTTTGCAGTCCATTTCCTTAATGCTTTCCAGCAACCATGAATGCTGTATTATGGATGTCCCAGACTGTTCCATTTAGTATCTACTTATGGACGCACTAAACCTGATGATGATACTGCCATGCTATACAGTCTCCTCTTAGAGCATGCAAGTTTAATTTTTGTATCTATAATATATTAATTTCTGTTTACATAATATTCCACATAATAGAATATAATGTTTTCAACATTATGCAAACATATCCAAATCTAATTATTTTTCAGTGTGAAGAAATTTAGAATCCTGTTCATTTGAGAAGGAGGAATATGTTACACTTTCCAGTGGACTGCAGGCTCTATTTTCTGACCAGCTCTGTTGTTAGAAAGTACCTTCACAAATGTTTCAGTAGCTAGTGCAATCTGTGCAGTGCTGGTTATGCACAATCCAGATTGAGTCGACCTGATTCATCTTTGTTCTCATGTAGAACCGTTTCTTGATCTAGTGTAAT